CACCAGGAGCTTCTCATTGAATTTAATCTCATGTTCTCCTTCCCTTCTTTACTGGCTGCCTTCTTTATCCTATATCCACCAATATATGTTATCAATATATTTGTAAGGTGCTTGACATATTTAGAGCAGAAAAAGAATTCTTGATGCTCCTAGAAACCGATGGCAGCTTCGTGTTAGAAAATAAACATTTATATTACATAATTGTTGTAGGCCCATCTGTGCAATCGTTCAGGAAAGTATCTTCTGTCCAAGTCTTATGGGTTGTTTCTGTAAGGGCTATGGATTCACTCCAACGCTGATTATTCACAGCTCCTTGGTAACCGTCAACTAGTTATTTGCTACGGACCCATCAATAATCTCTGTTCTTAGAGATTAAGAAAAAAGAGGCTTCGTCATTTTGATATGAACAATAAATTGTGACCGTTCTGCTTTCTGATAATAAATCAGTGTTACGGAGAAAAAAGAGTAAAAATTAAACTTTTTAAGTGATTTTTTTTTTCTCAAGCTTGTTAACTAGATCCAGTGAGATTTTCTTCACTCAAATGCAGGAGAGCTTGTGTGACTTCCTTTACAGTGAAGGGAGGAAGGAGAAATAGATACTTAAATTATAAATGGAAACAATGCAGAGGGATGGGAGAAAGCCTTGCAGTTAAGATTGTCCATTCACTCTTGAATAGGAGGGTGCTTTTTATAGGGATAAATGGCCCATGGCAAGTTATACTCAAAGCTGTACCATAATGCATATTTAAAGGAGGAACACTGTGGGAAACCTTACTTAGCAGCAAAATGTGGGATTTCTCTTTACTATCCCTTTTGGTTTGGAGGGGTTTTTTCTTTTGCAACACGTAGTAATGAAATGCTGGTATCAATAAAATGTGCCATTTTACTGAAGGCAGATATGAAGCAAAACTTCCTCAAGCTGCCAGCTGAGACTTGAGAATCAGTATTTCAGTACTGACCTTTTTATGCCTCTTATTTCCATTCCAGTTCTTGAGATCTGATGATTAACCCAATGAAGTAATGTTTAATCATTTAACCTTCCTTTGCCTGTATTGTAGCAGTCACAGGAAATGTATTTCCAAACCAAAAAGACAAATCATCTTTGAAAGGGACATAGTGTGCTAAAGTATCCCGAAATGTTACAGGGAATGAATCACATTAGCTGAGAGTCAAGTCCAGTCTAGATACTTTAATTTTGGGGAAAAATGTTTTGCCTGTAAGTAGCTGAATTTTTATGTCTCTTTTAATTTATTTTTTTTTTAAAGCAGTAAATTATGAAAGTTGTTTTGCTTTTATTTCAAATGCTTGAAAAAGTCAAGAAAAGATTGTTCCCTGCGCAGGCTTTATAAGAGAAAAATTATATTGTGAAATAGGTAAAAGTTGTGAAACTGATGATTGTATTCTCTGAGAAATGAAACTTTTAAGGTTTTTTTTTTTATTATTATCATTGCAGATGTTGCAAAGATTTGACAAACGAAATTTAAGGAAGCAACCAAACAGAAGTATTTCTGAACTTGTTTTCATTAAAGTAACTGTTCAGACTGCAAAAATACATAGCTCTTTTTGCAGCCTGAATGTGTGTGTTAACTTGCAAATTATTGTAGCTGTGATTACATTAGATCATAAAAAGTAGGGAAAAAATCTGAAATTTATCTCTTTTGGCTAATTTAGAATGTTTGAAAAAGGAAGACAAATGAGAAGTTCTTGACTGAAATATTTAAAACTACAGCTGTGCTTTCCATGGAGTGCTCTGTAATAGACAATTCATGTAAAAAATAAAAAAGTTAAAGAAGAAACAATCCAAGTAATAACCTTAATAAGAGAAATGTATTAATTAATAAGAAAAGTAAAATCGCCCCAACTTTTTTTTTTTTTTGAGTGACAGACTTGTTACACTTTTATCAATACTTTCATCATTGGTTTTATAACAAAAATTGTGTGTTTTTATCTGGAGGGAAAAAAAGTATTTTTAAAGCAGCCTTGAATTTTGCAGCAGTCTAGAAATGTGGGTGAGTGAAGCTGTTTATTTTTATGAAATTTCATGAAAAATGGTGCACTGTCCTTACACTAAGTTAATACAGTCAGTATATGCATAATTATAATAATATAGATTTTATTAAACCAGCAGCTGTGCTGGAAGCCTTAATTTACAGATCACTTGCTAGAGAGTTTGTTTCCAATTTCAGCTTCTGAAAATTAATACAGGAGTGTATTAGCAATACAGTCTAAGAAAATGGTTAAATGTGTTAAAATCAGAATAGAAACAATTTCCATTGAAATATGTCATGGACCTATTTGAATAATTGGATTGTAATGATTTATTTTAAAGATACTTTACAATGAGATTTACAGAGCTGTGAAAAAAATCTTTATTGGCTTATAAAAGTGAAAATATTGCTCTATCCCCATGAGCATTGTGAAACGGTGAATAAAATAGGAACTGAAAATATCACGGTCACATTCAGTTTTGGTGCAGAGGACAAGGGGAGACATCTTACGAAATTCCTCCAGAAGGCACTACTTTTGCAGTTCACCTTTCCAAAAATCCAGAATCTCTTGTTGAAGGGATGAATGTTACTGCTGTGCTTCAGCACAAATTTTTATTTTAAATTTATTTGTAGAGAAATTCTGAAGACATACTTTCCTGAAGACGTTCTACTTTTGTATTTGGTTAAGGAATTAGAATATCTGTTGTCTCCTCAGTGCTGCATTTTATTTGCTTACTGTGTGGTCACACTCTGCAGAAGATTCTTGCATCCTTTTCAGCTCATCCCTTAACTCCTCAGTGGGACCCGAGATGTGTATTAGTGTTGATCCCTATTAGTGACCATAATTACCTGGTTTCAGTTTGTGTTCTAACTTGGAAATAATGAAGAGGGAATTTTAGATTGAGAGGGAACTGCCCTTGATGTTGCAAGATTTTGGGGCTTGGTTCACTGGTAAATTATCATGTTTTGTTTTTTACAACAATTGGTGTCAAAATTCAGTCTTTGAACTGAAAAGCATGAAAAATTTTACTTTGCTCATCATAAAGGCACGTTCTAGACCTGCTTCTGCTGATGTAGGTTCAAGTGTTTGGTGTCAGCCTCACTGGGAATAGATTTTAATCACCTGGATACACCGTAGGGATCCGAGAAGTTAAATAGAAAAAAACATCAGGAACAAGTTTTCAACAAAGAGTGAATATTTCACTATTCCGTTTTTCAATAAGGCGTTCATGATCCCAAGGTGTTATACAAGTTTTCAACAAAGAGTGAATATTTCACCTATTCTGTTTTTCAATAAGGCATTCATGATCCCAAGGTGTTACTCCTGGTTAAATTTAGCAAATTCACCCCTTATAAAAATCCTTTTAGAATATTCTGTGTTTTCCTGTGTTTAAAAATGCCCCACCAAGATGTAGGAAATCTCATTTATTTGGCATTTTAATTTAGGTTGAAGTATTTGGTTTAATTTGGGTTACTTTTTCCAATAGAAAGTATAATAAATATAATTCTGATTACAGTAAGAATTGGGGGTTTTATTTGAGAATTTGTTAGCTATTTTTAAAGCACTGTAATGGAGAAAAGTTACTACTTGAAAAAGGGACGTAAAAAGACAGTAAATAGACTTGTTAGCTATTTTTAAAGCACTGTAATGGAAAAAAGTTGCTATTTGAAAAAGGGATGTTAAAAGATAGTAAATAGACTTGTCACAGATTTTTAATTTGTTTTTTAATCTGGCATAGAAAGTTATGTCAGTTCTATAGTTCAGAATTTAAATAATAAGCAAGAATATTGTCAAATAATTGTAATTTACTTGCATTGGTACATAGTATTGAAGGTTTCAACAGAATTGTAACAATGTTAAAATTGCATAAATTGTATTTTTTTCTGGATTATCTCGTAGTTATCTTGAAGTGCAGAATTTAGAATATCATTAATTATCGATTAATTCCCTTGAGAAATTTACCTGTCAGTTTTCCACAAAATGTGGATCAGTGAATACTGCATCGTGTCTGGAAAATAAAGTTTTTATTGCTTATTCATAGGATTTTTAAAAAGTAATTAATAATTGAGTTTTTTAAAGTTTGCTATTACCAAAGATAGTCAGCTTTCTGTAGCTGCAGTTGCCAAGCCTGAGCAGATGATACTGACCCTGGTTTTAACTTTTTGGAGAGTTTTACTTCCAAAGAATTTTACTCTGAGGTAAATTCACTTCTCATATCCAAATAAACTGCTTGTGAGGATCTTTATTTTTGCTTTTTAAATTGTTTACTGTGTATTTGGTAAACTCTGGGACTCTGGAGTTTCTCATGAGTGTGTTTGAAAGCTGTGATCACAAAATAAAAGCAGGCAGCGCGTTCTTAGCATGTTCTTGTGAAGAATAGTCATTACATGGTCCGGCACCTTTGCTTTTAAAGTATTTTAGAATTCAGTTCTGTGGATTTAGTGAACTTTACAAGTCTGTTGTAGAGAGTACCTGGAATTAGGAATTCTGATTGAGATCCTGGGTTTGAGAGCAAAGATCTCAGGATATAATGGGATTATTACATTCTGCCTTTGTGGTGTGAAAAAGTACCTTTTTAACGTGGTAAATGGTGGCAAAGGAAATAATTCCCTTTGCTTGTTTCAGGAATAAGGAATAAGCAGCAGTGGCAGTTCAAAGAGACAGAGAAATAAATACTAGAAAACTTGTTTCCATAGGATCACAGAATCACAGAATCTTGTGATTGTGAACTTGGGAATTGGGAATCTTGGGATTGTGAACTTGGTGCCACTCACAGGGTTTTGAAAACCAAAACTCCATACGTGTGGGTGGTAAATTTTCACACTGAGCATTGAGAATTTCTCTCTCTTCCCTCTAAGCCCAGAGTTCCAAATCGACCTTTTTGTTTCAAAAACTCTCCCAAATGCTAATCAGGAGATCCCATAGCAAGGGGGATACTGAGATCCCATCCCTTTTGAGGTGTGTTTGTCTGGGGGTTTTGTCTCATTAACGCTTCGTTTTCTTCTCTGCAGGATTTTGCTTCCCGGGCCAAACTGGCCGTCCAGAACCTGGTGCAGAAGGTTGGGTTCTTCGGCATTTTGGCCTGCGCTTCGGTAAGTCCCTTCCTACAACGGAGGGGTTTGTGGTCACAAACTGCAGGTTGGATGAATTGCAATGAAATGAGTGCTGGGAACTGCCACTTGGCTTTATTTGAGTCCCTAGGGATCTCCGTGCCTTGTTTGCTATTTCTGTGTTCTCTGTGGTGCTGGGAGAAAGGGGGTGGTTGTGGTGCTGGTGAGGACAATAGCGTGGAGAAGCTCCAGTCCTCGATTCGTACCAAACACGGCCAATTCTGCATAAAAGCACAGCTGACAGTTATTGTCCCTTCCTTCACCGTTGGGCTTCTTGACACTGGTTCTCCTCGAAAGATAATACGTTTGGAAAAGATCTATTTCCTTCTTAATTAATCAGAAAAGAGCGGTGCAGCAAGGGATTCTTTTTGGTTTTTTTCCAAAAGATAAAGCAATTCATTCTGTAGTTCAGCGTGGTGTGGAGAAACCTGACAGAAACAGGTCAGTTCACTAGAGATGCAAAAGCCTTGTCACAGAAAGGAGGGCTTATGAGACTGAACTGAGACATTCTTAAAATGCAAGAAGTTTCTGTGTTTGTGTTTCAAACCGGGGATGCTCCCTGTGTTTGGTGTGAGGCCACGGCTCCTCTCACACACAACTCAGTGCCCTGCCTCGGTGGGAGCTGGGCAGGTCAGACCACACACCCACGGGCAGTTACCCTGGTGGGACTTTCCTGGCCCAGATTATTAGCTGGCAAGATACAGCAAGAGCTCTGTTACTGCCTGGAGGTTCTGCTGGAACCCTGTTATTATTGCTTGAGGGGTTTAGGTGTGACGCTTGACATCTTTAGAGCCAAAGATGTTCACAGACTGAAGAGTTAAAAACTGCCCGTGTAAATCCTGATTAGGATATTCATCCCTGGTAATTCTCCTAAGGCTGCTCAGGAGATATCTTTGGGTCATTGGGAACCAGGGGGAGCAGAATGAGGAAGCCAGTTTCAGTGTCATGGCTGGGTGAACTGCAAACTACTTGTAGCTCTTTTCTCTCTGAGCGAGAGGTGATAGGAGCATCTCCACTGATGCTGTTTTAGTGTTTTACATAGGATAATACTGTAGAAAAATATTGAACCATTTGAGGTTTAAATCTCTCTCTGGAAGCTTAATGAAAAGTGGTAGGAATGGTGTGCCTTATTCTTCCATCCTCCAAATCAAGATGTGGGCTGTGATGCCCAGAAATGTGATTACAGGGAGGGGGAAGCCTACAGGAAGGTAGGTCCCCTCTGATCCCATCCTGCAGGAATAACCCCAGCCATGAGCTGGCTGCTCAGCTGGTGAGGTGTTAATTTTACCCTTGTCTAGCACATCTCTCAGTTTCCTAAATTGTAGAGATGACAATGCTAACTATTTGCTCAGATTTAAGTAACGTGTCTTAGCTGGGAAGAATCGAAGTGATTATAGTTGCTGGCTTAAAACTTCTGCTTACTAATCTTTTGAACTCTCTTGATGTTTAGAGCAGGGATGTAGGTTACAAGCTGTTCTTTAAATCTTTCCACCCAGTAAGCTCTTAGACTGCTCCTTCTCTGCCTCTGACTCATGACCCTCTAGTCACCATCTTGTGAGACATCTCTGGCCGGTCTGTCTGTGGGTCAGTCTGTCAGTCTGTCTGTCTGGTGTGAGCAGAGCAGCAGCTCGTAGGTGGCAGGGGGTGAGTCCCTGGAGTGGCTGGAGAAGGGGAAATGTGGATCAATGCAGAACAGGAGGAAGGAGTTGGTAAACACGAGAGGTGATGTGTGAACTCTTGGGTAGTTCCTGCTTAGTAATATTTAAACATTTGCTTAACTTCTTACCCACTGGCTGCACTGGGCTCCGGCTTCCTCTTCCTACGGAGGCTGCCCTGCTTCAGGGGGGGGAGGAGGAATCAGGAACCCACCACAGCACACTTGAGGGTTTGGCAGTGAGATGACAGGGTAACTGCAGAGCAGCAGGAGAAGGGGTGAGGTTAAATGCAGTGAAAAAGCACAGGGATTCAAAGCTGTTTCTGCTGCATCTCTAGCTGAGGGAGGCAGCCCCCCAGTGTGTTCCTGTGTTCCCCCAGAGCTCCAAGGCTTGGTGTCAGGGCTTCTCTTGCTGCTTCTCCCCAGGCTAGAAGGTATCTCCTTTGCTTGTCCCCCCACTTTATAATTGCAATCTTACTTTTGGATTTTTAGCAGTATTTGTTGGGTGTGTTTTTACTGATTAGAGAACTTGCTCGTGAGGTGGCAGCGACCGCCCCAGCTGCTGGTTCTTGTCTGACAAGCAGGGGTTTCTAAATGCTGCATGAAAAAACACAGTCAAATCAAATGTTACACTCTCCAAATTTATCCAGTGGCAATAAGAAAACCATATTATTGTCTGGAGCTTAATTCCCATGCAAAGGCAGCTCTGGGGAAGGAACAAAGCAAGAATTAGCCCGGGAAGATCCTTGCTGTGACTTGTGAGAATTTGCCCTCCTGTCTCTGTGGGCTTTTTTTGGCAACTCTGGGTGCAGCGCACGCGCGTGTGCCTGTGTGTTAAAAACCAAAGAGAACACCTCGCTGCCCTGTCAGAATACCCTGACGTGGACTTGTTGAGTAGCTATTTACTGTGATATGTTAAACGGGCTGCTGCTATTCACAGCTACCCCTACCTAAAGTGTGCTGCTCCCTCTGCGCTGATAGTACCGCACTAATTGTGATAGTACCGCAGTAATTAAATCCTGTGAGCTCACAAAAACCCCTCAAACCAGCCAACAAAGAAGATACCTGAGACCTAGAGCAGGCTTGGCTCAGAAGAGCAAAATTGTCTGGCTGTGGTGTAGGTAAATAATTTACTAGCCTCCTGTGCCTGAGACAGCTGTCAGAGGTGAAGAAGCGTTTGAGTTGAAGTGGAGCGTGTTCAGAGACCGTTTCGGGGCAGGGTTAGAGACCGTTTCAGATTTCTTCCTCTGCAGGTGGGGTTGTGGGTGCTCATAAATTTGAATTGCTGGTCTATAACATCTAAGTATAACCCTCACGAGCTTTCTCACACATTGCAGATTTCCATTCGCTCAGTTGCAAAGTTACTGTCTTTTACGGTCTTTTAAAAATCTACACTCCTTATTTATTTGTTTGTGCACCAGAACAAGGCAAACAGGGCAGGGTGTGAGCCCGGGAATACACTGCTACTGTGAATTAAATACAACCTGTGCCTTGACTCAGACAGTCTGCCCTCTCACTGCACACTAAGTGTGAAAGGTTGGAATTTGGATGCTTTCTTGGTTTAATTTCAAAAATATTTTACCGATAGACTCACAATACCAAACGTCAAGCCAACAGTTTAACAATAAAAAAAAAAATCTTTTAATTTTAAATGAAATGCATATGGTTAATAAAATCTAATCAGTGCTTTTAAACTGGATACATATGACTATAAATGCCAGGTTTTAATGTACTTTCTCAGATGGAGATCCCTGGGGAACGTTTTGAACACTAGCTTCCAAGAGTGATGTGCTTGTCAGTGAGAAAATTTGATAAATCACTCAAAGTGGCTTTACTGTGGTTTCTGTGCATTTCACATGGAAAACTTCTTGTTAGCTTTTTTAAAATCCAGGGCTAAGGAGGGACCATGAGAATGGAATTGTCTGGGACATTGTCTAGCTGAATCCCAGAGACTTAAGTTATGTGGTGTGACATTAGCATTTTTGTAAGTATCAAGACAACAGTTTTGGACCAAGTTGGATAAGGGGAAAATGTTCATTATTCAAAGTTTCAAGGTCTGTCATGTTCCTGTTCCCCTAAGTAAGTGCTGCAATTCATGAGCTTCTTTCCCTTGTGCTTCACAGATTCCAAACCCCCTGTTTGACCTGGCCGGGATAACATGTGGACACTTTCTGGTTCCCTTCTGGACCTTCTTTGGTGCAACCCTCATTGGGAAAGCAGTAATTAAAATGCACATCCAGGCAAGTAGATGCTACACCTCCCTCAGGGCTGGGGGGTGAGGAGGAGTTTTGGGGGGTTTTTTTTGACTGTTACACTGCATTACTTTGTAATGAACTTTGGAGTCTCCCTTCCTGACCTGAAGTAATGGAAATTAATTTGGTGCAAAGGATTTACAATAAAGGATCTGCCAGGCTTCTTGTGCTCAAAAACTTAGGCAACTGAATAATTTATAGCTACAACCTAATGAGCTTGCTGCCTACACCACTCAGGAAATTGGTGGTTAGCCAAGTTATTTACCTACGGGTTTTACCAGACTGAAAGGACTTCGTACTCATAATGAACTTGCCTTTTTGGTAACGAATACTCATTTCAAGGAGCGAGCAGTGAGCCTTTCCCGGTCGAGCGGCACTTTTAAATGCTCCTTTTTTATCTCAGTTGAGTGTGTAGAGAAAACCTCGCTCCTTTCAGGCCCTGCAGCCTGGGGGGGTTGTCTCGGGGCACGTTGTCCATCCAGCCTCATCAGCAGGTTGTGGTGTCCTCAGTCCATATTATTTTGAGAGGGCCTGATGTCAGAGCGTGTCCAGTTTTTCGTGCTAGCTCCGAGCCTTTGCAGGATGTTCTGAATTTGGCAATCGGAACCTCCGGCTGCTTTCAAAAACGTTGAGTCTCACTTTTGAAACGTGTCACTGTTCTGTCCAATGAAAGTTGAAGTCTTGATTCCCTGGTGATCCTTCCTTCGCCGTATCATGAGCTTCACTGCTCTGTTTGTAGTGATTACAACCAACGTTTTCAGCTGGGACTTGCTTTTTTCAGCATCTCCATGGGATTCATGCAGTGCCCGTAGCTGTTTTGCTTGGAACTCTTTTCAGCATCTCCATGGGATTCATGCAGTGTCCGTAGCTGTTTTGCAGTCACTACATTAAAATGGCAAAAACTATTAGTAATATAAAATTACTTGTCTAGTATTCTCCTCAAGCTGCTTAAAAACCTTTCTTTTGTCCTGAACAGAAGATTTCAATCTTCAACCATTTTTTTTCTTCCCATCTTCTTGTAAATGGTTACTTTACTTTGCCCCAGTCCTTAAACAGAAAATAAGAGATCTGAAAAGTCTTCCGTATACTGTGATAGAACAGCTTTTTCTCCACACTTCTTTTTGTATTATTCAAATTTTTTCTGCTTTGAAGTCTGTATACTGTTAGAATTTTTTTCTGGCAACGTAGAAAAGTGACATAGTATTTGTGAAATAGTCCTTTTATTATTTTACATGCCTTGTTTAGCTAGCAGAAGGTTTGCTATGTCCTTTATACTGCTCTACCCTCGCATCAAATATAAGTGAAAAAGTATTTCCCAGTGTCTTGCACAACTGATAAATCATCTTATTTTGTAACGCTTTGAGCTATTAGAATCCTCTTTTCTGTGATGCTTGATTTCAAGCAGGCTCTTGTGCAATAGCCTTGATTTTTGTAGGGCTCTTGCTGCAGTTTGGAATTTAGGAAATGCAAGAGTCATGGAAAAGGACAGGAAGCCAGTGGCTCCGTGGCAGTGCCCATCCCGGAGCTGCTCCCAACTGGCCCCTTCCTCCGGACCACAAAATCCTTTTGTGTAGTTCTGGTCACATCCCTTCTTTCCAGGGCAGGGAACACAGTTCTCCTTCCATCACCTTCCAATGGGTTCAAGGAGCCTGAGGGAGCTGTGTCCCCACACGCAGCCTCGCTCACTCTCTGTGAGGAATGAGCTGTCAAATATGACAAAAGTGGAATGAGCAAAGGCTGTTTTAACAAAATTTGAACTTGTGTTAGAAGAGAAGGGGGTGTTGATACTATGGACATGAGGATTTTCTGTAAAATAAGCTGCGCTACAGAAGTTTCTTCTGTTGAATTTGCTCTGCTCCCAATAGTCTATTGCACTAGAGACAGTTTTTCACAGTTTTTTGACCAGACCCAATGGCTCTTATTTCGTTCTTCACTAAGTGCTTTTTGTTACCTTTCTGTCTGAAGCACACACACAAGGGGACTAAAAGATATATTATTTTTTCACTTCGGTGATGTGTTTGTGTAAGGGGATGTGAATTTTTCTGCAGGGTGATGACTGTTTTTCCATTAAAATATTGTTGACGGAGTAAAGTGACCTTGAGCTTCTGGGAATTGGAGTTTGGGGAGGATGCGAATGGTTAGTAACAGGCTACAAAAACATTGCAAGAAATTAAATCTATGAGGAAATAGAGTAATAAAGTAAACAGCTTTTTTCTCTCCTGCCTCTTTTTGAAGAGGGTATTGAAAATTAAAAGATCTTGAAAGCAAAAAGAAAGGAAAACTGTGTGTGAGTGCAGGAGGAGGCGTCTGGTTGGAAAGGAACACAAATTGCTGTACCCCATTGTCTCTGCTTCCCTTTGGATCGAATGTTTCTCTAACTGATGTTTTCCTTCCTACAGAAACTTTTCGTTATTATGACATTCAGCAAACATATAGTGGAGCAGATGGTGTCCCTAATCGGGTGAGTAATTCTTTAACACAGCGATACCTTCACTTATTAAGTGGAAAAATACTGGAGGAGTCAAATATAGATGGGCTGGAAATTGTGCTTTGCCTCGAAGTGGAAGCTTCAGCCAACACATAATTTAGGTCTTATTTACAACTTCATTCCTCACCTCAAAGGCTTCCAGTGCTTCAAGAGGCGTGATGGGACTGAGGGGCAGATGGGCTGAGTGTGTGGTACCAACAGCTCACTGTCACCCAGAAACAGGACACAGCTCTTCCAGTTACAGATCGCACACTTTTAGCTGCAAAAAGACTGGGTTTAGGGACTTTGGTTGCTGTTGTGGTGTAATCCTGTGACAAAAAAAATGAAAGAACTGTTGTGATTTCTGCAGTGTCCCAAGATGGCAATAAACATCTTCCATAGTTTGAACTACCTTACACATTTAAAATACTAAATCTCTCACAAAATGTCATAATGAGAAATGTAGTGTGTAGAATTATATCTCCATTCTATTTAGCTTGGTTATTCATAGGGGAAAGGACAGTTTTCATGGATAAACTCTTCCTATTTTGGGAAAGTTTGTCTTGTTTTTTTTTTTTTAGACTGAGTTCTTTAGTAATTGATTACTGCTTTATTTTTTGTGTGAAAAGCTCAGTTTAAAACAAGAAAACTAAGTGAAAACCCAGTTAACAACAGTTGGGAGGGGGAAAAAAAGACAGGTAAAACAGCTTGCTTACATGTTGCCTCAGTGGGTTTGAAGATTGGACACTGATGATGAAGTACTAGATTTTTGCCTCATACCTACCTGTTCAGTCACAAAATTCTGTGTAATTTTAAAATCCATTGTTGATGTTAACGTTTCCTGCCTGGGAATTGGGCAAATGGCATCACAACAGTCCCTTCCCTCTCTAACCACGCAGAAGTTTCGTAAACTGCTTGAATGCAAACAAAGTGTGCAGTTTAATTAACTTAAATGTAGGCCACTAGATCAAATCGTAGGGATTTCATCAAAAATTCATGTTTAATTGTTCAAAGGAAGAGTTGTGTTCTTTCAGGGGGAAGCTGCTGCCTGTTTTCAGGCCACTGACCTGATTAATGGCAGGGCTGCAGGTTTGAAGTTTTAAATGTGAGTCTGTGACATCTAAATAGAAACCTTATTGTTGTGGGGTTTGTTTTGGGTTTTTTTATTTGTTTTTCGTGGGTTTTTTTTTAAACTAGATACCTAATATGGATCCATAAAATAAATGCCAAGGTGTTTCTACTTTTCTGAGGTTTTTCACTTGTTATATGGGGCAAATCGATTGACACTTTGCCATCCAAACTGCAGTAACTATTTTCACTTAAACTCCCAAAATCCACACTCCTCAAGAGCAGTTTAAGGGGAGGAATGTCTGGAAATAATTCCTTTTAAAAATATGTAAACTTCAAGTAGTAATGCTGTACAGAGAGAAAGGAGTGTTGGAAGAAACATTCTAGAGCATTTCACCAATAAAACAAATCCTGACTTTATTACTTCCTGATCTTCTGATTGGGTGTCTGGTTTGTAACAAACTTCAAAATTAATTTGTTGCTTTGAACATTATTTAAAAAAAAAAAAAGAGAGAGAAATGTGGCTACTTTTAACCATCATTAGTTAGCTTTTTTTTTTAATATCAATCACAGCAGACAATTTACTATGAGCTTTTCATCAGCACAGCTACTGGGTCAGGTATATTTCCAAAGATTTACTCTCCTGCAAATCTTTCAGCCAAAACTAGTAGTTTTTTCCTACTTCATCTGTCTTGGAGATAATTTTGCATCGAATTACTTCGAATGCATTCACAAGACCTCTGCTGGATTCAGATTTTATTAGAGGGTTGATGTCAGAGTTAAAAAATGTTCTCGGGAGACAGTAAGATTTTTGGAATGTCCCGGTATCCTTGACTTTTCTCAAGCTGTCTGCCTGCATTACCTCATCAATTTCTTTTAGAGTGGAGTATAAAACATGTTAAACAAAAGCTCGCATTAAATCCCTTATTATTAAATTAAAATATAGTTCTATTTAATGGTTGGTGACTTTATTTTAATCAAATTCTAGCCGACAAAATGACTTGAGACTTTTTTTTTTTGTCTGGGATAGTGCTCTTACACAAAAGGAAATGTCTGAGCACAATACTTCACAATAACGAGCATATTAATATACAGGATAACTAAAAGCTAGACAGAAGATTAAGTTATGAGATATAGTCTGAGAATATTTGATTTTATAAGCCAGAGAGAATTTCTCCATAGCTACATGAGTCTTAGTCAAAAAGCAAAAAGGATTCACCTGCAGACCTTGTTCACTTCTGGCCCTGGATGGTGCTGCCACGGCCCGGCCTCTTTAAGGACATTGAGGGTAATTTGATTTTTACAATTTTGTCTAGGTCTCTGTTACAAAAGGATCATAAAATGCTCCTTATATCAATTAAAGAAATAAAGAAAAAGGAAAAGAAAACGTGGCAGGAAATCAAGAAGCCGTTTAAGAAAAGATTTTCGAAAAAAATTGGTGGTATCTAGTGTAGGAAATAAGAAGAGGGCAGGAGGGTGGGTGGTGGCAGCCGTGCTGCAGCGAGTCGTGGCGGGAGGAACAAGGAGATGTGGATGGATTGAAGGAACTGAAGTTATTGTGAGCCTTGAAATCAAAGCTGAGGAGGGTTACGGAGGTCCTGGTGGTTATCGACCTGTTCCACCAGCGAGCAGGGAAATCAAGAAGCCGTTTAAGAAAAGATTTTTGAAAAAAATTGGTGGTATCTGGTGTAGGAAATAAGAAGAGGGCAGGAGGCAGGAGGGTGGTGGCAGCCGTGCTGCAGCGAGTCGTGGCGGGAGGAACAAGGAGATGTGGATGGATTGAAGGAACTGAAGTTATTGTGAGCCTTGAAATCAAAGCTGAGGAGGGTTACGGAGGTCCTGGTGGTTATCGACCTGTTCCACCAGCGAGCAGGCTGAAGCTGGGTTGTTGCTGGCTAAAGTGCTGGAGGAGAATAGTGTTTTCTCTCAGGTTGTATCACCTTCATGAGCTTTTTTCAGGAAAGGTTTGAGTTTTGTCGTATTCTGACCGTAAAAGAAGAGTTTAACTGACTGGTCATCCGTGTAAAATACTTTGATGATGGTTTTAGGCCAAACCTAACACATTTAAAATGTTTAACTATCACATGTGTTGTGGGTTTTCTTTTGGCTCTTAAATCTTTCCACTTAATTTTTTTTTTTGTTACCTACAGCTGCAGGATTGTTTATGAAGTCACACTAAGCATGTTGCTTTTAAGCACGATCATATATTTTTTTAAAAGTGGCAGTTTCAAATGCAGATTAAGAATTCCCAGAAAACTACTAAAGAAACAGTTCTCAAAGCACACACCATCCACAAACCTGCTGCCAGCAATTCTGGGTAAATTCTCACAAAGGAAAAAAAAAAAAAATCTTAAATTTATTTTAGTTCCTACCTACAGCTGCAGGATTGTTTATGAAGTCACACTAAGCATGTTGCTTTTAAGCACGATCATATATTTTTTTAAAAGTGGCAGTTTCAAATGCAGATTAAGAATTCCCAGAAAACTACTAAAGAAACAGTTCTCAAAGCACACACCATCCACAAACCTGCTGCCAGCAATTCTGGGTAAATTCTCACACAGGAAAAAAAAAATAATAATCTTAAATTTATTTTAGTTCTGCATGCTCTGTTTGTATTTTGTGAAAATGAGCTAATAACTTTAGAACGTCAAGAGTCATCTAAAAAATTCATAAACACGTTTTATATAGCGCTAGACAGCACGTGGCCTTCACCTCAAGCATCTGAACCTCAGGGGCACGTGGTGGCTGCATCCCTTTTGGACAAATCCCACCCTTGGGGCAGAGAGATTCCCTCTGACTGTCTGTCGTTAAGTTAATGATGAACTCCTGTAGGCAGCAGAAGGTCTTAATTAGAGAAGTGATAGTCCTCAGAGGGGAGGTGTGAAGGCTGAGAGCAGGTGTGGTACCTTCAGTGTCAAAATGCATGAACTGCTGCTGGTTTCAACCATCGTGTGTCTTAAGGGAAAAATGGGGGTTTGGTGACAGGTCCTGGAACCATTGCTTTGACAGACCACTTTGCTGCTCTCCATCGTGCTTTGATTCTTTGCTTCACATCTTAATCTCAGTTCATTCTTGTAAGGAGCACGATGTTCCTTTCACCAAAAAAGTCCAAATGAAATCGCGGTGACTGATGTAAATGGAAACTTTGCTTAAAGATCAGTTGTTTGGGTTTTGGTTTTTTTTTTTCAAAAATAATTTCCCATATAGGTTTAGGTTATTTCTTTGGAATATTAAGTCAAGAAGCTACAGTGATAGAAAGGGCTGCCCCAGAAATCGGTGTTCCTGGGGTGGAAAGGCCCTTTTTTGATTGATGTTGTGCCACGCGATTGCCTGGGGTTTTTGGGGACCTTCATCAGGGGTTTGAGCCCCCAGAGGACCTGATGGACCTTTGTTTTGCATGTATGCATGGGAGTCCATCTCCTGTTGAACTGATGTCTTCCTTAAAGGTTATTTGGAAAAATAGGTTCCGATCAATATTTAAAGTAAAACCTGTGTAGTAGAATTCAACCAAAAATAACCTGAAGTGGCTGAGAACGTGGATAACTGAGCAGGGACTTCAAATCTCCTGAAACAAATCCTTCTGGAAGGTTACACCGATACACCTGACGTTTTGTGGTACAATAAATCAATGGTTCTCCTCCCACAGGTGTATGGGAAACCTGTGGGACCGTGCCCTGGCAGCACACCCCGCACACAATGGAGCAGCTCCGCACAAAAAAGGCTTTAGAGGCTTGAAAGGGACACAGATGGGGGTGAAATTCGAGCAGCTTTGGTGTTGAAAACCTTCCAGGGGATCACAACAGAATTATAGGAGTTTATTTGCAAGAGGCTTGTAGGATTTAACTCCGAACAAGCAAGCTTTTTCAATAAATTGTGTACAGAAAATAGTGCTCTATCTTTAAAAATATAAATAGAAGTTTCCTTCG